AAAAGGGTATGCATCTTCTGGAACTAGAGTTAAGGACAGGTATTAGTTGTCATGTGGGTGATGGAAACAGAACCTGGGTCCTTTGCAAGAGAAGCAAGTGTTCCTAATTGCTGAGCCATCTTTCCAGCCCCAAACTTAAGTTTTTTTTTTTTTCTCCAAATTTAATTTTATTACTTAGTATGTATACAGGCAACTTACAACTTACAGAAATTGGTTCTCTTTTTTCACCACTTGGGTTCAGGGGACAGAACTCAGCTATACCTGTCAGTCTTGGCAGTGGGCAGCTTAACCTGTAGAGCCCTCTGGCTAGTCTTAGAACTAAAGCATGTTACTTTAAATAGTAATTGTGAGGAGTTAACATGCTTAGAATAGTTCTTGGCATATGGTCAAGTTTCATATGAGCAGTCACCTACTCTAAGCCTGCTGTGTTGTAAGTCACATTGACTTTGAATATTTCCTTTGACAGACTGCTTGGCATTAAGTGGAGCAGACCTTTTTGGGGTAGCTCTAATTATGTTCACCTTTGAGCTGCTATATACATCCTTGGAACTTCAATATATTTGTTCTAATTATTCTTGTCTATGAAGATGATACATATATTTGAGGTAAATACCTCAGTTTCCTCACAATTCTGGGATTTGTTGTTTGGGTGGGGAGATCCAGAACTGAACATAGTATTTTAATTAAACTTGACCAATTCAGTCATTCTACAAATATTAGAACTTGATATTGCCAGTTCTAGACTTGACCCATTACACTACATGGAGTTTAAATGATTTCATTGATGTTTATGGAGTGCTATGTATTAAACCCAGGACTGGGTGCATGGCAGGTTCTTTATCACAGAGTTACACCCTCAGTTCTATGTTTATCTTCTGAATATTATTTATGCCTCCAAATATATCAGCTAATCTAACTAGCTTTGAAATGGAAGAATCATGCCCAAGATCTGATTTCTCAACTTCAGCATGACTTATATTTTGTACTGGATAATTCTTTGTTGTGAGGGTTTCTTATGTGCACTGTTAAATGTTTGGTAGTATTCCTATACCTTTTGCATATTATATACCAATAATGCCCCTTCCTTCACATACCCAATGGTAGCAACCAAAAATATCTCCAGACACTGGCAAATGTCCTCTGCAAGGCAAAACTATTTGAAGGTTGAATCCTACTGATTTAAATTGTATTACTAGAGAACTTCCTATAGAACCTTCCCAACTGACTGTCTCGGTTGAAGCCTTCATTTTCTTTTTTTTTTAAAAACTTCACTTTAATGAATTCTGGTCCTATGGGAGAGTAGCAACTGCTCTTAATTGCTGAGCCTTCAACCCTATTTTCTCTTTCTTAACTACTTTAACAACCCCAAACCCGATTTCTGTACTTGTCAAATATTCCTTAAATGTAGCCCTTTCACATTATTGACAATATTTCTAAAATATGAACATGACTTGAAAACTCAATAGGCTCCCTTCTATCTACAAAAAAACAAATTGAGCATACCTGATCCAGTACCTGCCAAATTTTGTAACCCCATCTTTCTTCAGTCTCTTATGTCTACTCATAAGCACCTACTCACATCTCTGAAAAAGAAATACTTGCCTTCTATCGCTCCGTTTAGTATGGCTTTTATTTAATGACTGCCAAGTATAACCAGTCTTCAGAATATCTCAAAGCCTATCTTTTACAAAGACAAATTCTTCAACAAAGGGTGCTGGAAAAATTGGATATCTGCATGTAGAAGAATGAAACTAGATCCCCATCTCTCACCATGCACAAAATCAATTCCAAACACAGCAAAGGCCTTAGTAAGATCTGAAACTCCCAAAACTTCACAGGAACAGAGAAAACAGACATAGGCAAGTACTTTCTGAGGTAACTGTTCAAGAAAAAATGCCAACAACTGAAAAATGGAATTTCATAAAATTAAAAAACTTCTTCACTGAATGGAGAAAAACTTTGCTAACTTCTGCCAGAGGGTTAATACCTACACCATATATACAGATATAAAACGAAATGACAAGAAATTCCAATCAACAAATGGGCTAATGAAATAGGCACTTCTCAAAAGATGAAGGAGCTGGAGAAATGGCTCAGAGGTTAAGAACACTGGCTGCTCTTGCAGAAGACCTGGGTTTGGTTCCCAGCAACCACATGGCTAACAACACTCCCTAACTCCAGTTCCAGGGAATCCAATAGGCCCTTTTCTGCCCTCTACAGGCACTACATGCACAGTGTACTTGTAGGCAAAACACTCATACATATAAGACTTATCTTAAAACACCAAAACTTGGGCTGGAAAGATGGCTCAGAGATTAAGAGTTGTTTTGTGTTCTGCTCTTCCAGAGGACCCGAGTTTGGTTTCTAGCACCTATCCTGGGTGACTAACTCCGGGTCCAGGGAATCTGATGCCCTCTTCTGGCCTCCTTAGGTACCTGCACACATGTGGCATATAGTCTCTCTCTCACGCCTCCTCCCCTGCAATTATACTGAGCTGGACATGGTGGCACAAACCTTTAATGCCAGCACTCAAGAAGCAGAGGCAGGTGATCTCTCTGACTCTGAGGCCAAAAAACAACAATGAAACAAAGCACATCAATTTTATTGCAGCACCACTGACAATAGTTACTCTAGGTATCTGCCAATTAAAAGAATGGATGTGAATGTGGCACATACACACAATGGAACTTTATTTAGCTATAAAGAACAAAATTATGTTATCTGTAGGAAAAAAACTAACTAGAGATTATCACATTAGGCAAGTCAGTCTCAGAAAGATAAACACTATGCTTTCTTTCGTGGATCCTAGATTTTATATATGCACATAACCATGTGTGCGTATCAAAGTGGGAATGATAGTGTCCAGGGAAATAAAGAGGACTCACTGGAGGGAGAGGAGAGAGAGGAGGGCAGGGGAGTACCGAGGAGAAATATGCTTGCTCAAATCACATTATATACTTGTATGAAAATGTCCTTATAAAAACCAATATTGTGTGTACAGTGAATACATGCCAATAAAAATAAATGAACTTGAAGCTGGAAAGATGGCTCAGTGGTTGAGTGCTTTGCAGTTCTTCCAGAGAACTGCAGTTTAATACCCAGTCCCCTGTTGGGTAGCTCACAATTACTCTGGGTGATCCAATGCCCTCTTCTGGCCTTTGCAGGCACTGCACACATTCATTTTCATTCATTCATTCATTCATTCATTCATTCATTCATTCATATTCTCTCTTTCCTGATAGAAATAAAAGTAAATCTTAATAAAAGAGCTTGGCAGGTATCAGAGAACTAGCAAGGTTAGCAAACTGAAAAGCGAGCTAAAAGGAAGCTGGAAGGTGGAGAAAGAATCAAGAAGTAAAACATGACTGATTCATGCTGAGTTTTCTGAATGATGCTAATTGTGGATTTTATTTCATGAGGGGTTGGTGCTCTGAAGGTTTTAGGTGGGGGACTGCCTTAATCTCCTTGCTACTCTGAGCACTGACTCTACTGGGGTTAAAAACAAAACAAACACCCCCTCCAAACAAGACTTTAGTTTGGCTAATGAAATGACCTGTGTCAAAATTTAAGGTTGTTCATGCCACAGTAATTAATGGTAGTGGAAGTAGAGTCAAAAGCTGATCTGGAGGACAAGTCCTGCTGGTGTACTGGAGATGGAATGTGAAGGAAAAATGAAGGCTGTTCCCCATCTTCTACATATAGTTACTTTGCTTATTTTTATTTACTTTTTTTTTTATTTTATTTTATGTGTCTTACCTGCATGGATGTGGGTGCACCCATGTCATGCAATGAGCAGAGGTCAGTAGAGGGTGTTGGATCCCCTGAAACTGTAGTTAGATGGCTGTTATCTGCCATGTGCGTGCTGGTGCTGGTAACCAAACCCAGGTCCCTCTGCAAGAGCAGCCAGTGCCCTTAACCTCTCCAGATCCCGTTTGAGGCTCACAGTGAGGTACACCCCCAGCAGTTATTTTTCAGTATACTTTATGGAGTCCTTTTTCTCCAACAAGTTAGAAGCAGTCAATTATACTCCCCCTTTGTTGCATACACAACTGCACATAAATTGAAGCCACTGTTTCAAGTGCAGGGTAGTAACCAAAGTCTGGATTAAATGTGGGAGTTACACACACACACACACACACACACACACACGCACACACACCTCACTGGGCATGGTGGCACTGGCCTTTAATCCCAGCACTTGGGAAGCAGAGGCAGGAGGATCTCTGCTGAGTTTGAGGCCAGCCTGCTCTACATAACAAGTTCCAGGCCAGAAAGGACTGCACTGTGTGACCCTGTCTCAAGAAAACCAAAACAAACCAACACCCACCCCACCCCTTACACACATAAAAATCCCAACATGTTTTAAGAAACAATTTCAACTGTAACAGCTGCTAAGCACAACAGGCACTGTTTTTGGAGTGTTCCAGGAATCAAGACTCTCCTCACAGCGAGTAAGTGGAGGCGCCGGGTGTACCCTGTTCCACCTTTGGAGCCTCTAAACCACTACTCTATGGCTGACTCTAAGATTTAGAGTGGCTGTGAGCTCTGTGAAGAGAGGCCACTCTCAGTCTTATTGAATCCTTGATTATAAGTGGCAAGATAAACACGTACAGAATCAACGAATGAATTCTTTGACTCTTGATCTGTAAACAGAAATTTGGGAAACACTGGGAAAAAAAAAAAAGCAACATACTCTCTAACGAAACTTCTTCCTGGGTATGTAATCTAGTAACTAATTCCGAGTTCTGCGTTAACTGAAGGTCACAGGGAGGGGCGAGTCTTATGAGGCAAGTCGTTTCTAGTTTGGTAGAACACTTAACGTCCTTTGATAGTTATCATTAGGGGATCTGGTAATGTTCCAAGTGATCACATCATCTGTCTGAATGAGGACTTACAACCCCCCAAATAAAGACAAACAGCAATTTCTGACATAAAGCTAAGTAAACAGAACTAAAAGGTGACAGACAAGGGCGAAGGGACGCGTCACACCGCGCACTTACCCGGGCCCCAGGACGGCTGCGTTCTTCAGGCACGGGGCTGCAAACACAAGACACGGGTCAGCAAGGTGCACCGTCCTCGGGCTTCATCACTAGCCCGTGCACCCCTCCTCTACATCCCCGAGACGAGGCTCTCGCCCCAGCTCGTCCCGAACATCGCAGTGCCCTTCTTCGCCCACTTCCCCCGTCCCCGGGTCCCCAAGGCACCCCGACACCACAGCCCGGGACCCACACCGCTCACCCGCTGTGGCCGCGGCAGCAAACACCACTCGGGATAGCATGGTCAGCGCAGGTCCAGAATGCGGGCTTTGCGTCCCCCCAACCCCGACCTGAGACCGTCAGGGCCAGAAACAAGATGGCAGCTCACACGTCACGCGAGAAGAGAGCGCGTACCTCCCCTCAGCCGGCTGGGATTCCTTTTTTCTCGCGAGAATAGGCACAGCGCTTGAGAACCCGCTGCGGGAGGGGCTAGCCGGCTGGAAGCGGAGACACAATTCTCGCGAGAAGTAGAGGAGCCCGGAGCCTTCTGCTGGGGGCGGAGGCCTAGGGGTGCAGCACGTGGGATTTGCGCCAGCGCGGAATCGGGCTGCCGGGCCGTTTGGGTCCAGGACGGATTTGGAACCGTGGAGATGAGGAAAGAAACGCCACCGCCGCTCGTGCCGCCCGCGGCCCGGGAATGGAACCTCCCTCCAAATGCTCCCGCCTGTATGGAGCGGCAATTGGAGGCTGCGCGGTACCGGTCTGGTGAGCCAAGTCCCCGCGCCTGGCAGCCCCCCATCCCGGCCATTGGCGCCCCTCCCAAGCCCGTCCAGCCTGGGGCGCCATCCCGATCCCGGCACCTACAGCTGCCCTAACCCGGCCCAGTATTCCCTGAACTCAGAGCCAGATTCGGCTCGCTTGTGGGGCTGTGCGGTTACCTTGGAGACCCGCAAACGCTGACATCCGGGTAATTTCCCTCTTCTCACCCTAGATGGGTCCCTTCTGCTTGGGGCTTCCAGCCTGAGTGGTCGCTGCTGGGCCGGCTCCCTCTGGTTTTTCAAGGATCCCTGCGCGGCCCCCAACGAAGGGTTCTGCTCCGCCGGCGTCCAGACCGAGGCCGGTGTGGCTGACCTCACTTGGGTAGGGGACAAAGGTATCCTGGTGGCTTCTGATTCAGGTGAGTTACTCCCCCCTTCTCCCAGTGGAATTGAAGCTTTGGGTACAGGTTGGGCTGGGCTTTGTGGGTTCTTTAGTTGTCCTATGCTCAGCATTTGGAGATGGTAGTGTTGTTCCCTAACGCGAACTTTAGTGTAGAGAGTTGAGTACTTTTTCTGAGATTCTACATTGCCAGGTGATCACTACCCAGTAAAATTCCTCTAGAAATTAATTTTAATCTTCCCCTGGCCCGAGAGAATGTAGATTTCAAAGATGATGGTGAAAACAGCCTGTGCTAATTGCCTCCTATTTTTGGGGGGGGGGTTACAGGGAATTGAACCCAGGGTTCTTGCTAGGCAAGTGCTCTACCACCAGACTGCATGAGCAGCCCTTCATTTCATTTTGTTTTGAATGTCAGGCCGAGGAATATAGACTTTGACATTGAAAAGAAAAAATAATGAAATAAAAATTAAAGTAGTTCAATCACATATTTATCCATGTCCTAATAACTGGGAAGTGATAGCCTCACTGAACTGGACAGCTTAGAACTTCATCCTTGTCTCCCTGGGAACTGGTTTCCAGGAGTTCTTTCTCTGGAAGCAGAATAAAGGATTTCCTTGTCGTTTTTTCTAGGTGCTTTCCTCACATAGTTGTCTAGGCTGTTACTAGGAAAGCAATGAAACAGCATCAAACTAAATGCCCTCGAAATTAGCCAAGCTTTAACAACATGAACTTTGCTTTTACAGGAGTAACTTTTCTGTTAGTTTGGAGACAGTACCTGCTTGATTCCTAGAAGTGAATGATTGACTTTGTATAATCTAAGCTTATGGGTTTATGGTCCCCTCACTCCCATACCTCACTCCATTCCATCTCCAACAGGTGCTGTTGAATTGTGGGAGCTAGATGAGAATGAGACACTTATTGTCAGCAAGTTCTGCAAGTATGAGCATGATGACATTGTGTCTACTGTCAGTGTCCTGAGCTCTGGCACACAAGCCATCAGTGGTAGCAAAGACTTCTGGTGGGTCCCTGCTTTCCTTTGTCCTGTCTCTAGGCTTCCTCTGGGTGCCCTTACCATCCTACTAACTCAAGTAATGTTTTGGGCTGTTTTATGAGTATAGAAATTGTGACATGCCTTTAAGTTTTCCACAGAGATTTGGTAATGCATTGCTATTAGACAGGAGTCCAGGAGGTAGGCATGCATGTTGCTTAAAGGAAATTCTTTTTTGAACACATCTTTATGTTGACAGTGCAAGTCAAGATTGCTTCCTGGAGCAGGGTATGGTGGCATACACCTTTTATGCCAGCACTTGGAAGGCAGAGGCAGGTAGATCTCTGAGATAGAGGCCAACCTGGTCTACAGAGGGAGTTCCAGGTCACCTGGGCTACAGGGAGACTTTATATATATTAAAAAAAAAAAAAAAAAGCCCCCCCCCCCCCCAGAAACAAAAACAGAAAACACAACAAAAGAAGATTGTTAGCTGTTTCTTTTTTGCCTTTTAGCATCAAGATTTGGGACCTGGTCCAGCAGATGGTCTTGAATTCATACCGAGGTGAATATTCCTTTTTATTAAGTTCTGGCTGCCTTTTATTCTCCCCTTTGGGCTTTTTGAACTTTATTTGGATAATAGCGTCAGCAATTTCATGCTCTCTTGGTAGGTTCTGTTGTTGTTCTTCAAACTACAGTTAGGTTCCAGTATCTGCCCCCTTGTCCTTTTCTTTGTGCTCCTATTCTGTTGATGGTCTCACACCTTTTGACTACATAGGGCTTAACACCCTCTGTCCTCTTAGACGCCTCCCCTTTCCCCACTCTTACTAGGTCATCGGGTCCTTTGAGGCTTTGTCCATTTCATCAGTGCCCTTCCTGTTCATTTCTTATATCCCATTCACCATCAAGATTTATCAACAGACAGTGTCACTCATTTCTTCATCTATAATCTTTGACTCTTGGTTCTTCATTGGTTTCTGTGGCCTGCAGATGAAGATTTCATTTTCTTGTCAGCATTCAAGCCCTCTTATGACAGTAAGCGTGTAAGCTTTTTTGCATTTAACTTAACCTAGACATAGTGGAGCCTTGCTGTTCTCAAGGGATAAATCCTGAGACTTTGGACTTTCTCTCTCTCTCTCTCTCTCTCTCTCTCTCTCTCTCTCTCTCTCTCTCTCTGTGTGTGTGTGTGTGTATATATATATGTGGATGTGGAGGCCAGAGGGCAACCTTGGAGCTGTCCACCTTATTTTCTGAGATGGGAACTCTCACTAGGACCTGGAGCTCACAGATGAGAGGCTATGCTGCTGGCCAGGGGGCCCTATGATTCACTTGTCTTTGCATCCTCAGAGCTGGTATTATAAGCATGTGCTGCCACACATCAGTTTTTGTGGAATCTAGGCCCTTATGCTGATGTGGCAAGCACTTTACCAGTGGAGTCATCTTCCTAACCCAGACTTTTGAATCTTCATATACCATTGTTTTCTTTAGTGTTTGTGCTATAACACTTAACAGAGTTAGAAGTTCACTTTATTTTGGTAGCAATTCTTCATGAATTGTGGATTCATGAAGATGGATTGTATAGCAAGGAAAGAATTACGGAGGATGATTTAATCCTTAAAACAGAGCCACATTAAGATGACCCTGGAAGGGCTGATTAAATGATTTTAGCGATAGTGATTTTACAATCTTTAATTAATGTGTAGCAGGGATCTTAAACTTTGTTTGATGTGTAAAAGAATTTAAAAGCCATATTCCTCCTTTTATATCTTAAATTTGATAACTAAAAGATTTAAGTAGGGTGTGCATGATGGCCTGGTGGTAAGGGCACTTGCTGCTGAGCCTGGTCTGGTGACCAGAGTTTGATTTCTGGAACCCACCTGGTAGGACAGAACTGACTCTGGAAAGTTGGCTTTCATGTATGCACTATGGCAAGCACACACACACATACCCCGACACATACAATAAATAAATGTTAAAAAAGTGAAGAAAAGATTAAAATAATTGTCAAGCTAATTTTTGGCATACCATTTATTTTCGTACATTTTTTTTCTAGCAAGTGTTTGTCAGAATTTTAGAATTGCTGAGCAAACCTATTTATAGAAAATGCTAACAAAATAGCCTATTGGAACAAATCAGTTTGTACTGTTAGTAAAGTTAGACTTCACTCTCTTGACTTCTTTTGTCAATCAGATAAACTTGTCCTTATGGCAACAATCATTTATCTTATCAGTTTTCACTATTAGTAGCAGAGTGATAAGTCAGATAAGTCACTAAATCATACTTGTATTTGTGATATTTCTGAAACAAAGTCAGTCCTGGAAACAGTTTTACCCAGGCGCCCTTTTGCTTTTTTGGCTCTTGAGAGAATAGCTCCTTTTGCCTCTTAAAGTGGGCAAAGGGTGATGTGAAAGCATAGGCCATTCAATTTTAGGGATGAGAATAGAAAAACCAAGTTGCTTAAAACTGAGTACGAACTCTCAAGTTTTTCCTTACTACATAGAGGCCTGTGTACTTGGGTATGGAAGCTGCTCTAATAGAATTATTAAGCTGCTTCTTTCAGGATGTCTGCACTACAGGCAGGGGTCCTTCATATTCTTACTAGCATCTAATTGCTTCATCACTGTCTTTGCCAGTTTATATTTTTTTGGTCTTTTTGAGACAGGGTCTCCCTGTAGCCCTAGTTGGCCTGGAACTTGGTAAGTAGACCAGGCTGGCCTTGAACTCAGAGATCTGCCTCCCGACTGGCCAGTTTTTTTTTTCCAGTGCTTTTTTTAGGTTTTATAACTCTCACCTTTTCCTCTTATATTGTTCTAATCCTTAATCCATTATAAGATTTATTAGGTTGTATCATGAGGGCAGGCCTGTTTCTTACCTCCTGATGCCTCTTCTCTGCCATATTTCTCTCTTACAGCTCATGCGGGGCAGGTTACCTGTGTTGCTGCCTCTCCCCACAAGGACTCTGTGTTTCTTTCATGCAGTGAGGTGAGATACAGTCGATTCCCACAGCTGAACTTTAGTAGACCCAAATCCCTGATGTGGAGACTGGCCAGCATCTGTTCCTTTGGATAGTGAAGCCATTTTTCTGTTCTTCTCCCCAGGACAGTAGAATTTTACTCTGGGACACCCGTTGTCCCAAGCCAGCATCACAGATGGGTGAGTCTGAAGCCATTGGTGAGAGTGGTGCTGGGAGCCCACTTGAAGAGGCTTTCTTTGACCACAGTCAGTGCAGAGTCCCCCGTGCTCACTTGCTGTGACATAGCTGACACATTCTGTCACAGTGAGGCTCTACTGACCATATTATGTGCAATGAGTATCAAGAGGAAGGGCTGGCTTCCGGGTAGGTGATTTACTCTAAACAGTTGGATAAAAGGGCTAAGCTTATTATTTTTATGCTTGTGGTTAAAATGTGCATGTGACTTATACCCACGAATGACAGGAGGCTAATGGATAGATGTAGGTTTTGGGGCTCAGGGATGAGGCCCTGACTGCCTTAGCGGGATTTGAGGAGTGCACTGAAGGTATTCCCAGGATTTAGCATGACTTCATTTTAAAAACTGCTTCTAGCTTGTGGGTTTTGTTCCATACCTCCCTCTCTTCTTTGCAGGCTGCAATGTTTCTGGCTACCTTCCTACCTCCCTGGCTTGGCATCCTCAGCAGAGTGAAGTCTTTGTCTTTGGTAAGGGAGTGTGACAGGCTGCATATTGACTTTGGGAACGGAGAGAATGAGAAGGAGCCACATTAGTGGTGTACACGCTCTTGTCAGCACACACAAGCACTACTTGAATGATACCAGCTTTGTTTAGCTTTGAAGGACATCGTGAATTTTATTTGTTTGTTTCTGGTAGATTTGATTTCTGGAGTGGTTAGAAATCAGTGGGCCACATGGCAAGTGGATTGCTGTATAGGGAATTATGTTCTGCTGTGGATAAGTGTGGCTATGCATATGATAAAGTTTATGGTTAAAGTAGTAACTACTTCATTAATTTTCATACCCACACAGACTTACTGTCCCTACCTTGCAAAAGAGGAAACTTAGGGTGGTAAACTTGTCAACTTGAAAAACTAGGTCCAAATCCAGGACTGGCTGGCATCAAAGCCCCTGTTCTTAACTACTATGATGTGGTCTGTCTCTCCTCCAGGTGATGAGAATGGGGCTGTCTCCCTTGTGGACACCAAGAATGCAAGCTGTATTCTGAGCTCAGCTGTGCACTCCCAGTGTGTCACTGGGTTGGCGTTCTCTCCACACAGGTATGGTTCTTTGTCACAGGGACCTGGCAAGGGTGGATGGGCACAGTGGTGAAGGGAGGGGGTGGAGAGGATGCTGGGATGTATCTCTTGGCAAAGCATTATCTGGTTACATTGTTCCTTAGTTAGGGTAGTACTAGGATTTTCCTAAGCTAGTCAGTAATCAGTTATCTCAGCTAGTCCTTATTAGGGTTGTACAGTCTGAAAATAGCTAAAATGTGGCCTGATTCCTGCTCAACACCCAAGATTAATATTGTGGGCTTCTAGCACTGTGTGGTTACAGGAGCCTGTGTCCCTGGGTCATTGCCAAAGCAATAGAGAGGGACCTGATGGCATGATTTAATTGCCAGAATGATTTCTGTGAACCCTGGCTCCTCACTTTCCTTATCTTTCCTTGGAAGTGTAACAGTAGCCAGACTTTAACTCAAACTGGGGATCAGGCTGTCTTCTACCCTGGCTCAGTTTGCAGTGGGAATGGGGCTGGTCTATCAGACTCTCTTGGAATCCATGGGATTTATCCTCTCATCCCTTTCTGTTCTTATAGTGTTCCCTTTCTGGCCTCTCTCAGTGAAGATTGTTCAATTGCTGTTCTGGATTCACGCCTTTCTGAGGTGTAAGTTTGAAGTATAATTCTATGGTTAGGAATTGGGGGTCAAGACCAGTGGGCAAGCAGGTCCTTTTTCTCTTCAGGAAAGTGCATGGCCTCTTTGGAGGGAGAGTTCTTTGTCTGTATCTGTAGACCGAGCACTGGAAGCAGGCAGACTACAGGCCACCCTGTTCCTGGGGCTGATGTGCACACAGCCTGCTGTGTTCTTCATAATCAAGGACTACAGATGGGTGGAATTTCTAAGTCTAGTATTATTCTAGTCCTATCCTTTTTATGTAGGGAACTGCTTCTATGAAGAGGCATCTGTCTGCCGTGATTTGCTATTTCTCCCTGGCCACATCACCTCCTTGTTGTCCACCATTTCTTCATCTATGAACATCGATGATCCATGACACCACTGTAGATAGCTGCACTGCTGTCTTGGTGGTGAGGCAGTATAGATGATGAACTGTTGGTAACATCAAAAAATGTGTCCTGGATGTTTTGGATTTTCTTTCTTCCTGTTTTCTCTTGTTTCTACCACAGCCTCTCCCAGTGTGTCACTGGGTTGGCATTCTCTCCACACAGTGTTCCCTTTCTGGCCTCTCTCAGTGAAGATTGTTCAGTTGCTGTTCTGGATTCACGCCTTTCTGAGGTGTTTAGAAGCCGAGCCCACAGAGACTTTGTGAGAGATGCTACTTGGTCCCCACTCAATCACTCCCTTCTGACCACAGTTGGTTGGGATCATCAGGTCGTCCACCATGTTGTGCCCATAGAGCCTCTCCCAGCCCCTGGACCTGAGACTGTTGTGGAGTAGATTGGATTTCAGAGAAAAGCCCTCCACACAAGAGAATCCACTCCTTTGCCCCTGCCTTCAGTTTGTGAGATAACATAGGAGTCTTGTAGAGCCTTGTAGACTTGTTAGTACTGAGAAGTTAGAGGCATTGATTCTTAGACTAAAGTATCCTTCATCTTCTCCAAATAATGCTTCACACTACCCTGGCCCCCCAAAAAAGTGAACAAAGGGTTTTATGCTTCTTGTGTGTATGAGGAATTGGCTCTGTCTTGGTGGGATATAGTATGTGGGTATCCCTAGATTCTTGGGAGTAGCTCACACTACTCAGAGATAAGGATATCTTTTATTTTTTTTTAGAGTTTAATTCATCATTATGGGAAATATTTCCATTCACAAAAGTCCAGCCCAGTATATCTTCGAGAAAAATGACATACCATAGTTTTGTACAACTCTATGTCTTAAAACTGAGTCAAATCCATTTTCTGGCTGAATGAATATGGCTGGTGCCAATGTAGTGCTTGCTTACCCTCCGCCCCTTCCTCAGTGTTGTGTATAAGAGATGTTTTTCTGTCATCGATTTGACAGAAAAGTTTAGGGCATATTTCAGTGAAGTCAGAAAACTGACATGAACTGTTGCAGAAAACTCTTGCCATTTTTCCCACATGAAGGTAGCCTGGGTACTGCACCTGCCTCTGGATCCCTCTGGATATATGAAGTCTGAAAGCTTTATTTGTGGACTTTATAAGATTTTAAGATCAGGGAAACCATCAGAAATACTCGTGGGTGAAATAAAGACTTTCACTGTTGTTGGACTGTTTATTTTAAGCTGTTATTACCTGCTTCGCTTACATTTCTGTGGTTCCCAGAGCACAGAGTAGCTAGGTGGAACATAAATATTTACAATTTGCAGTGATAGAGTATTTGTTGCTATTTTGTAGTCATGGGTCAATTACTGATTATGTTGAAACTAAATACAGCTATGTACTTTGGAGCTTTGCAAGCTTAGGGTAGGTAAAAGCACATGACATGGACAACCTGAGGATTGAGCTTCCCTGCTCTGCCTGCCAAGTGGCCTGCTTTTTAATCACCCTTGAGTAAAGCACAGGGGAATCTGCAGTTGGGATCTCCCAGCTTTAGCCTGGGTGTGATCAAGACTTCTAGTTCTTAGAGCTTCCTTGGAAGGAGTAGGATGACTAAATGGAACCAACTTCACTTCTGCTTCAGGTAAAGCTTGCATTTTGTGGTCCCTTAAAAATACAGGCATGAGTTGTGTGTGGTGGTGCATGCCTTTAGTCCCAGCAAAGGCAGGTGGAGACGATCTCAGAAAAGAGGCATGAGTTTCATGAATAGGTATTTGTGTAGTCCTCTTGGGCTTAAGACTGATAGATACAAAAATAACAAAAGAAAATGTGTGTGATTAGTGTGGCTAAAATTGACATCAAAGAAGGGAAACAACCACCTTAGTCTTCATTGTTCAGAAAATCTAGTTTGCCTCAGCTCTGTATTGGTAATTCACATTCCTTAATGATTGCCTCATACATGAACCTAACCAAAGCCATGGTAGCAATGACTAATAGTTTTGGATGAATGTATATTATAGTAAGCAAAGAAGATAGCTCAAAAGATGACTTCAAAATAATCAGATGTAAAATTGGGGTGTTCACGTCTGGAGAATAATCCCAGGAAAGCAAGCATAGGCTTCCTGATGACTGGGAACAGGGTAATTTTCAAAAGCAAACAATACTTATTTTCCCTTTCGTGTTACTACTGGTTCTCTCAAGTTAAATGCATTCCCTCAGCTTTGGTATTGTGATTTGTCCATTAGTCTGTTCCACTGTCCTGCTGTTCTCTTGTCCACCAAGGTCTGTGCTCAGTCCTTGAATAGGACACATAAGTAGTTCCACAAGGAACACTGAAGGTCTGTATGGTTTCAAGTGACACCAGGTATTGCTGACTCTCTAGTTATTTCACTACCCCAAAGAACAGCTGGAGTCTGGTTCTTTAGTAAATAGGTGTGTGGACGTTTCTTAGTGACTCCTGTCATAGCATCAAGAATACCTAATCCCTGACACTTTGAGCCTCTGTTTTCTCCAAGCAGGATATTAGGAAGGATAGGCTATTGAGGAAGACAGCCCCCCCCCATATTTTCTTATAAAAATTACTCAGTTTCAGAGGGCTCCATCCAAACAGTTATTAAGCTATTTTGTGTACGTGTGTGTGTGTGTGCGCGCGTGTGAAAGCTTAAGCAGAGTGTGTGGGAGATCAAGAGAATTTGTATCTAGTCAGTGTAGTGAGCTGCATATTAATATGAATAACATTAGAAATCGGAAATTTTGTTTGGCAAAGGGGTAAGCAAGCTGTAGTCTTAATTTTGAGCCAAATAATTTCTCTCAAGAACTTCATCCACAGTCTGCACAATACTCCTTTGTAAAGTAAGCAAGGTAGGTAGACTGCTGTTGAATATCCAAACACCTTGTGAAATTTCCCATGAACACTGGAGTTTGTACTTCGTATGGAAACATGGATGTTTTCATCTTCACCTAGGAAAGATACTATCCAAAGGGTCTGGGGAAAATGAGCTTCTGGAAAGGAGGGGTTAGCTATGTTACATGGTTCATTGTTTGAACATTCTCACATGATAAGGATTTTAATTGTCCGTGTCAGATTCTACAAGCATTTCATTTTGGGAGGCACTTTGCTAAAAATAGAATTGTTTCAAGTAGAAGATTTCTACTTGGATAGTTAACTCTTGGAGTCTCAGCAAAATAATGATTATCAGAAAATGCAGTTTTCCAGCTGCAAACTAAGCTTCAGGTTCTGCTGTCTCTGATCTGTTAGAAATCATCTGCTGTTAGCTGGGCTCAGAAACATTTATCTGGGTGTGCCTCTGGTTTTGCATTTTCTCCATTTATTCCAAAGGCAGACTATTAACTCTTGGATCCATAACTACTACAGTGGTAATCGTGGATCCTTTAGTAACAGAACTCAGTTCATAAGCCTGGGCTGAGATCCTGTCTCAAACAAACAAACAAAAAAAACAAAACAAAACCAGGGTTTGAAAAAAAAAAAACCCTGAAACTAATGAATAAATGGAACCATTTCTTCAATCTAGTGGTATGAAAGTCTTATGTTGTAGCAACATGCTCTCAGACTTGTGTCAGAAGTAAGCAAGAAACAAGATCTGTGGAAACATACACATTTTTGAATACATATTAAAATAGACACATTCAGTACTAAGATAAAATCCTTTATGTACAACCCCAAATCATCTTTTATACCAAATATTGAGAAACTGCCTTCACTTTAAAGATAATTGTAGTTGATTAGAAAATGTTCATTCAGGTTTAACCCTGGAATGTGCTCAATACTGGAGTTTTATATCTTTCATACAACTGATTTCATCTAAACATAGTTCTCCAATTCATTCACATGAATAAAAAAGTTATATTTGAATGCTTTAATAAAACCAAGGTGTTTCACATTCGTGTTCCTGCCTTCATCCAGTTGAATCTAAGGGAATACGGGAGGGATCACACTGCTTTGGCGGCATTCTTTGGTTATCCAAGTAAAATGCAATTGTAAATGCCTTGCCTGTAGGAACAGGCTAAACACTAAGGAGGGATATTTTATAAATACCCAGTGGGTATGTGAGATAAAAAAGCATTGACCGTATGTTTCTCTTTTTGACAGCAAGAACTCAAGGAAAAGGATTGTGAGCAAATGGATTGACACAGTGCACTGGTTTTCAATGTAATTCCCATTCAGCATTTGACTATTTGTCATCTACCATGCATACAGAATCAGAGCATGGTCACCCCTGAGTTAAGCAGAGGTCATTTCTGGCATCTATTGTTCTGTCTTGGTTTTCTTGACATCATAGCTACTCTTGTAGATATGGAAAAGTCAGGTGTAGACTGGCAAGCAAATAGCACTGACAGCTAGTGCCCCTGCCAGCAGTGTGAGTGGAAGGGCACAAATCTAGTGGGACATCTTAGTCATGCAGAATCTTGGGAGATTGGGTGCAGTAGGGGAAGGCTAAGATGCTGAGACATGTCGCGAGCCACGACTCTGTCCAGCAGAGCCGAGGAAAAACGACACAGACACCAAGGTGAGGTTCAAGCTTCTGTTTCTCTTTCTTCCTTTATTCTCTCATTCTCTTCACTATGATGCTGTCTCCTATGATGCTGTCTCTGTCTCCTATGATGCTGTCTCTCATGATGCTGTCTCTGTCCCCTATGATGCTGTCTCTCATGATGCTGTCTCTGTCCCCTATGATGCTGTCTCTCATGATGCTGTCTCTGTCTCCTGTGATGCTGTCTCTCATGATGCTGTCTCTGTCTCCTGTGATGCTGTCTCTGTCTTTCTATTACACACTTCAGCTCTTTATATAGCGTTTCCAACAGCCCTCCCCCCAGCCGGTACCAATCAGGGCTCACACACGTGCAGCGGCCAGGCAGAGTGTAGCTCATAGGCACGTAGCAAGATCATCAGGCTGGCAGCACCTGTTTTGGGGCTCACCATACTTCAGAGTTGGGGTAAACAAGCGGGATTCACGAGCCTTGGCAATCAGCCAAGAGTTGAAGTAAACAGCACGAGGTTTGGCAGCCAGCCAGGGCTCCATCTTTGGCTGGCTCGGCTGTGCTCGCTTCCCACAA